TCACTCTCTTTCAATTTCTTCAAGTTATACGTAATTTAAAACAATATTTCTTTCATTTTAAAAAAATAATGCTTTTGTTGGCCGTTGTAGTGAATTTTTTATATTACCAAATCACAATATTCATATAGTTGTCTACATTAAAAAAAAAAACAATAATTGGTTGGCAATATGTTTTGAGTCAAATCAAATTTTTATAAATATTAAAAAATATATTTAAGATTTGCTAATATTTTTTAGCAATAAAAAATATAAACTAAATAGAGATTAACTTGACGTGACCAACTTGAAAGGCTAAAAAACAACTCAAATGACTTATAAAACATAATTTGATGCAAGCAAAAAAATTTAAGATGATATTTTTTTAATAATAAGAAAATAATATATATTAGATTGACCTGAATTAGTCTGTCAAATTCACAATCTTAATCATAATTTTTCATAAACCTTATATTGAAGAATAAAGTATAAAAAGAATTCAATTAAAAAAAATTACGGCACCCGAGTTAACTTGTCAAACCTACTACCCGGGTCATGAAATCAAAATAATTCTACAGAAAGCAAATCAAAATAAATTATGAAATTCAATTTTTAATCAACTCAATATTTAAGCATGAAATTGAAAAAAAAATAAAAAAATAACTCAAGTCAACCTGAGTTAACCTGTCAAACTTATAACTTAGGTTATAAGACTAGCTTCATAAAAAGTAAACTGAAACATAACCAAAGTTGACACGGGTTAATCTACCAAATTTGAGACTAGGGTCATGAAGCTAAGATGACTTTATTTAAAGCAAATCAAAATAAATTATAAAACTCGATTCTTAATCAACTCAATATTGAATGATGAAATTAAAAATAAATAACAAAAAAACCATGTTAACTCGCGTTAACTTAGCAAACTCATAGTTCGGGTGATGGAATCGAGATAATCTTATAAAAAGAAAACTAAAACAAATTATGAAGTTTAATTTCTAATCAATAAAATATTGAATGATAAAATTAAAAAAAAAATTGAGTCAACTAGATTAGCCATTAAACTCATTACTCGGATAATAAGGCTGGGATAATTTTATAAAAAATAAATTAAAATTAATTATGAATAAATTAAAAATTAAAAATAAAATTAAAAAAATTATTATTAAAATGAATAATATTTTATGATATAGGTGTATAGTAAAAACACTATTTTTTTTTTAGTGTTTTGTTAATGTTAATGAGGCTTATTTTCTTTAGACACATGATGCTGTTTTTCACTGAACAACCACGCATTTGGCTTGCACATACGCCGATAGAATTTTTGTTTTAAAGAGGAAAAAAAAAACGCTTGGATTGTGGAATGCATGAGCTCGTAATCATATGATTCGTGAAGACGAGTTTTTGCCCCAATTATTTTATAGTGACACAAATGTTTGATAAGAACTCTTGCTATCAATAATGAGCTTTTTATTATCTCATAAAAATAATTAAAAATGTACTTAAAAAAAAAAAAGACTTTATATGGAACTACTAGGGGACAAAGTCCCTTAATCTCCTAAATGGGCTTGACTCCTATTTAAGCCTAGTTGTAAATTAAGTTGTTTCAGCTTTTTACCTTGAAAGAATCCCTTGTGATGTCCGACCTCGTCATCCGTGAGGTTTCGATATCACTACATCTACTTCTCGAGTAAAATTACCTTTTTCTATTCTTTATATATATATATAAAGACATTAGGAAGTAGAAAATTTGATAGATACTAAATAAAACATTATTAAAATATTAAGATTAAAAAATAAGTCATTAATATAATACTGAAAAGAAAAGAAAAAAAGCTATTAAAAAGACACATTATTATTTTATTATGGACAATAATTTATTGTCAAAAAGAGCTCATTAAAATGATTGTAAAGTTATTATAAAAGGCTGCACGATAAAATTGAAAAAATCACACAACTACTTAAGTGTGAAAATTAAAATTTGAAAAAAATTCTAGACCAAGTTAAATTATTTTTTTAAAGGAAAATTAAATAATTATATTTTGAAAAAAATTAAAAAGACCTACATGCCCTGTATTAATTTCATAATGCTTAATAAATCATGTGAAAAAACAATATTAACCCTCGGTGCCAGGCCACTGAGTTTTTTTTAAGTAGAGCTATAGCGTTATTTTATTGTTTCATTTCACAATAAAACAAGCCTTATCTATAGAATTTTTGGAGCATCCTATAATGGAAGAAGTGAAAAGATCATAATAACCCCAATGTCGGGCCATTGAGTTTTTGTTAAATGAAACACAATTTCTTGGTGTCCGAAGGAAACTAAAGTGTAAGGGATTTTAGTAACCCAGCCCAATCTCTATCCAACTTGTTAGGGCCAGGCCTATATTTAACGGGCTTTCACCTGTTACCGGCCAGCCCAATATCTATCCAACTTGTTACCGGTCAGGCCTATATTTAATGGGCTTACACCTGTTACGGGCCAGCCCAATCTCTATGAAACTTGTTACGGGTAAGTTCTTAGAGGTTTAAAATGCGCTATAAAACTTATCCATTGTCCTCTTTCGCTAAATTTCTAATTTTCTACATTCGAAGCATTTTTTAAAAACTCACTAACTATAATACAGATTGATTTATGACCCTCAAACAATAATTAAAAAGTTAATCTGTGTGATTCGAATAAAAAAAAAAAACTGGGTTAATTTGTAATTTGGTTAACTCTAAGGAAAATCAATAAAAATCCCGTGATTTTTTTATTTATAAAAAAATTATTTTTATTTTTTTATAAAATAAAAAAGATTTAATTTGAGTTAAGCTAAAATGGATTTAAAAACCAATATAAAGTGTAAATAAAATATAATTTTATTGAAATTATTTCATAAATAATTTATGGAGTTGCTTCTTAACTATTTTTTTTATTTTAAATTATATATATATATATATATATATATATATATATTGATGAGTTGATGTTAAAAATAAATTTTAAAAAAGTAAAAAATATATATTATTCTAATTTATTTCCCAACAAAAATCTTTTTCAAAAGTAACTGTTACATATTCTTTTTGTTACTGTTTATATATGACGACAATTGGTGTTCTTGTCAAATGTGATTTCTTGAACATTCTGAATCAGAAGACACAATCAGCATAGAGTTTTGTGCTCCTTTCCATCTACCAAACTCATTTGCAGATGAGGCTAAGGCCATAAATATTAACTAATTCTTTAAAAAGAATGGAAAAAATATTGTAGTTTTTCTCCCACTGTATCTTTTAATTTTCTTCCTTTTTTTCATATATTTTCCCCTTGATTTTTGGGTTTTACATTTTTTTTTCTCTCCAAGATTCTCTTCTTCTTCTTTTCTTTTTTTTTTTTATATTTTTAAAAAATTATTTTTGTTAATTTTTTTTAATATTGAACTGATTAAAAATTTAGTTTTATAAATTTTTTCTTTAAAATATTATAAATTACTACAATGTTTCTCTATATAGTTTTTTATAATTTATTTTTATTTTTTTATAAAAAATAATCTTTCTCGATTTTTTTTTTTTATATTGAACTAATTATTGTTTTGTAGTTTTAAAACAGTGTGAATTGTTATAATATTTTCCTACATAATTTTTATTTTGCTACAATATTTCTATATTTTTTTTAAAAAAATTATTTTTATCAATTTTTTTTAATATTGAGCTGATTGAGAATTAATTTTAACTTTCCTCACATGTTTTTTATTCTATTTTTTTTTATTTTTTTGTTTTTTTTCTAAAATTGAGCTGGTTGAAAATTTTGTTTTGTAGTTTTTTTATGATTTTTTTTATAATTTTCTTTGTTGATTTTATTTTTTTCATATTGAGCTGGTTGGAAATTTAACTTAGTAATTTTTTTCTTTAAAACAACATAGATTGCTTCAGTATTCTTCCATATGATTTTTTTTGTTATGATTTTTTTTAAAATTAATTTTATTATTTTTATTATTTTTAATATTAAACTGGTTGAGAACTACAACTATATATTTTTTTCATGAAACACTATAGATTATTACAATGTTTCCCTGCATAGTTTTTTTCTTTTGTTTTTGTTGATTTTTTTTTTTATAATTAGTTGGTTAAGAATTTAGTTTTATAGTTTTTTTTTTTTAAATAATGTGGATTGTTATAGTGTTCCTCACATGATTTTTTTGTTATAATTTTTTTTTAAATTTTCTTTTTTTATTTTATTTTTTAAATATTAAATTGATTAAAATTTTAGTTTTATAATTTTTTTTGAAAACATTATAGATTAAAACAATTTTTTTGTTATAATTTTTTTATTTTTTTTTCTATAAATTTACAATAATATACAAGTATATCATAGCACGTGTCATCTCGCGGGATGGCATCTTGTAAAACTCCAAACAACGCGCCTTCTGTTCTTATTGTAATGGAGAAGTGCTCAATGAGGAGGCCTTGTCCCTTTCTTCTTCACAGTAGCCTGCTCCCTGCTGAATGTGTTGCCCAAAGACAATGGACTTTGATCTTCCATTGTGGGCCTCTAATGTGGGCTTATGATAATATATCCAATCATTTCTAGCTACAATTCACTCTCTTTCAATTTCTTCAAGTTATACGTAATTTAAAACAATATTTCTTTCATTTTGTTTTAATAATGCTTTTGTTGGCTGTTGTAGTGAATAATAAAGAAATATTTTTATTATTTGTTTTTATATTTTAAAAATATTTTAAAAATATTAAATATTTTTATTTTTTTAATACTTTCAAATTATTTTAATGTTTTAATATCAAAAATAATTTTTAAAAAATAAAAAATAATTATTTTAATATATCTTTAAATAAAAAATATTTCCAAAAACAATCATAAATATACTTCCAAATTCCAAGTGTCCTATTTAATGATTTGAATGGAAGCGTTCATTGAAGGTCCGCATTATAATATAAAATTGATAAGGGACTGAGCTAACAATTCAAGATAGTACAAGGACGAAACTGTTCATTATAATTTATAGGCCTCTTGCACCTTACCGAGAGAAACAAGAAACACACCCAAAGAACAGAGCTTTGTTAGCCTCGATGGATCTTCTCTGCCACGCATACTCTAATTCCTCAGATGAAGAATCCGAACCCAAACTCAAACCCGACTACAGACCCGTCATCCCCCCTCCCCCTAAACGTTTCAAACCGGAAGCCCCATCTCAAAATCTCCGAACAGAAGCTCCGGTTCCTGGCAGATACATATCCAAGCGAGAAAGAGCTCTCTCTGCCCAATCCCCTCGGGTCCCCAACCCGGCACCAACCGCAAACCTAAACCCGAATCCCCCTGTCGTGGCTTCTCCTGGTAAATTTATTTTCCTTTCATTACTTACTTTTTGTTAGTGTATCTTGTGATTTTTTAAAGCTGATTTAGGTTTGAAGAAACTGCAAAGTTGGTCGGTATCAACAGAAACTTTAATTTGAAATGAGCAAAGAAATGTTAGTTAGTTGGAAAAATAGGTTAATGGGCTTGATTTGTTTTGCTTGGTTAACAACAATATACTGTATTTGGCCAATATTAGCTTTAGTTTAGGAACTGAAAAAAAAAAATGATTGTTTTGTGCAACATTGGAGTTTGATTATGATTATTGTATATGCTGCAATTAAGTAAAAGGCTGAGTCTTTGTTTCTCCTTTTTAATTCTTGTTATTAGTTCTGGGAAGTATTGGTGATTCTGAGATACCCCGTGATGTTTTATCATCATTGAGGCAAGCAAAGGGCCGTGCATCGCTAAGTCAAATACCCAAAAGGCTGGCGGTTGATTTGCGTAGCCATACGAAGGCTGTCAATGCTTTAGATTGGTCTCCAAGTCATGGTATCAATGGTTTTCTTTTGGATTTCGTCAATGCACTTCTTAGATTTGTATTTCTCTTGCTTTAGCTGAAATTTTGTTCGCAAAGCGTTATACTTTGTTGTCTGTATCATTGGCCATATTGATCTGTTCATTATAGTTAGTCTACAGCTCATCTCCTTGCTTCTGCCGGAATGGATCAAACTGTCTGTGTATGGAATGTGTGGAGCCAAGATCAGAAAATAGCACGCATATTTAGATATCATAATGCAGCAGTGAAAGATGTGAAATGGTCGCCACAGGGATTATCCGTGCTTTCTTGTGGATATGACTGCTCATCCAGGTTGATTGATGTTGAAAAGGGGATAGAGACCCAGATTTTCAAGGAAGATCAGGTTGTTGGAGTAATAAAGTTCTGTCCAGATAACTCCAACATCTTCCTTTCTGGAGGATCAAAGGGCTGTCTCAGATTGTGGGATATTAGAAATGGTAATGTGGTTTCTGAATACATTCGAGGTCTAGGTCCAATACTTGATGTTGAATTTACCATCAATGGCAAGCAGTTTATCTCATCCAGTGATGTCTCTGGAAGCAATCTCAGTGAAAATTCAATTATTGTTTGGGACGTCTCACGGCAGGTATTCAATTATTGTTTGGGATGTCTCACGGCAGGTTCCATTGTCCAACCAGGTAAGAGACTTCTTCCAGCGTACTTTTCTTTCCATCACATAGAGTTTGTTTGTAAAGGTTGGTGTTGTCTTTTAGATCCCTTACAATGCTTGTGTACTTGCATTTCTTTGAGAGGTTGCTTTCATAAACTCTGCATAATGGTTGAAGAATTTTATTGGGGTGGCATGTGCAGAGAATATGCTTTAAAGCTAGGTATGATACCTTTGGTGTCCATGTTATGTCTTCCTTCAGTGGCCTCAACTTTGTAGGTGTTTGTTTCATCTTCTACCTAAGACCTCACATTTGACATTTGAAATTACTCGTGTTACCAGGTTCATTCCATATAATTAAATTGATGAACAAGCAAACAGACAAAAAAAAATGATAAAACAATGTGTATCGTAGAATTACAGTAGTTACTTATACCTGATGTGTTATTTTTGACGTGGAGAAATGACCAAAGACATTGCCCTAAAGTTCTCTTTGAATGTTGTCTGCTTGCAAGATACTCAGACAGTCTCTTCTTTGGGTTTTTTTCCCCTTCTCTTTATGATAAAGGAGGGGCATGGCAATCAAAAGATCAATCTCAATTGCTAGATGTAATTTAATTTACTTTCGGGTTTCTATATCTTCAGTTTATTACCATGTTCATATTTATGTTGCTTGAGCGTTTCCTCTTGTCTGGAGGATTTTGGATGCTTATGCTCTTGTGTTAACTGTATGTTAGCCTGTTTATCACACTTGTGTAAGAAAATTGAGCTGAGACATCCATCTTCCCTGGCCATTTGCAGTAACATATCTGGAAAAGGCGAAAAGGCCCGATACAGAGTGCTGAAATAGCTAGAACACTGCACTCATCGTCTTGTCTATTATGATAGTGCTTGTGATTTTAGGATGTGGAGTGAAGTAGAGTTTAATTATAAGCCATTTATAATTCTGATTCAATAATGCAGATTCATGAGCTTTGGAAAGGCCAGTTTCAAGAACCTTGTAACATCAGGGATCCTCACCTTTATTACCCTTGAATGTTCCTGTCACAAGGCTTTGTTTTTTAAAGTTCTGCTAAACAACAAAGAGAATAGTTAATTTTGTCACAGCAACTTCTACCAAAGTTGCTGTCAGAACAATATTATGATCAATCAAATTACTTTTCACTGAATCAGCAGCCTGTTTAAACAATTAGGATGCATGTGCTATGTTTCCCAAAGCAACACTTTGGTCCAAAATCTTACATTTTGGGATGCTTGGTTAGCAGCTAAAGCACCTTCTCAGGTCCTTCTTCCCAAGGGCTGAGGCCTAAAAATGTGGCTGTAGATTCTAATGAATTATGAAAATTGATAATAAATCTAAGCCTTTAGCACTTTCACGTTTGCAGTGATAACATGACCTGAGGGTGTATACTGTTTCATTTTCATAGATGTGATACCTGAGAATTGCTATTGATCGATTCCTATGTGGTGTAAACTAGGTTACCAACCTGCTTCCTGTATATTGCTTCTATACATCTCAAGTTTCCACTGCTTGTTATCTTAAACCACACCCTGCCCTTCTCCTGTGTCATTAGTGTTTGAGTCATCTAACCTAGTTTTTAAAACTAGCTGAAGACCCCCCTTCCAGACCAATGAAGACTGACATCACGCGCCAACCATCATTGATTTTATCATCAGGTTCAGCTGCATGATATGTTAAGCATATATGGGATAGGATGAGTTAAATTTGAACAATGATCTTCAATGTATGTTGCCAAACAGTATCACCTTTGCATTTTTGCTTGTTTTACTTATAAAGTGATGCTTGTTTTCCCCTGTCTCAGGTTTATGTGGAAGCCTATACATGTCCAAGTGTTAGGTGCCATCCATTTGAGCCATGTTTTGTTGCCCAGTCCAATGCAAATTATATTGCTATCTTCTCTTCATGTCCACCTTTCAGGCTGGACAAGTATAAAAGGTATGAAAGCCATGGCGTCTCTGGGTTCCCTGTTAAATGCAATTTTAGCCTGGATGGTGAGAAGCTTGTCTCTGGCTCGTCAGATGGTTCTATATACATATACAACTACAGGTCATCAGAGCTTGTCAGAAAAATCAAGGCGTCTGAGCAAGCATGCATAGACGTTGTTTTCCACCCAGTTTTGCCAAATGTCATTGGTTCATGCAGCTGGAATGGGGATGTTTCAATATTTGAGTGACCACATTTGCGTCGTTGGACAGGTTGGTTCTTCTGGGAACTAAGAGCAAACAAACAAAAAAAGGCAAATCTTGCAACTGTGTACATTAGGATTGAATAGAAAGGCCAAAGCAATGTCGTAGCTGGTATCCAGCCTTGCTTTGTTCTTTTTAGTATTCATAAAGCATTATTCCAAGTGATTTTGTTTAAGTCTCTAAAATGGACATCTAGGATGTGAATTGCTTTATATTTCTTGCATTAGCAGCTGTAAATTCGTTGATATGCTCTTATATATATAACTCATTTAGCAGAAATCCTTTGACCCTGAAAATATATGTAAGGAGGCCTTTGTCATGTTTTCCGAACCCAGATTAAAGCGTCTGAACTTTTCCAATTTAAGCTCAAATTTAACGGCCTGGAGATCCATAGATACCTGCTTATCCCTGGAACTTACACTGCAAGCCAACGTGCCGCAAGCACACAGTTGCAATCTACAAAATGTTTTCTGGATGTTTCGCAGCATTTCATGTTTGCATTCATAAATCCAGGAAGAAGCTTGTGCATTTTCATCCGAGCACTGCTTTGGAAAACGGTTGTTGATGAAGACAAGGAGACCCAAGTCGACATCATCAGGTTGCAGGATGCACGTTGTATGATCGGGGACAATTCTGTCGCCATACAATGTGAAATACATGGGTGTCTATTGGTATATATGATAACGAGAGGTTTGATGTGATTTTTTGATAATCTACAAACCGTTTTGCTTTCAGAGTAGATCTCCACAAGCCCACACCATTGTCTTAAACCCTAGACTCATTTGGTATAATTAGTATCTAGGTGATAATGGGGATGTCGATATCTATCCCTCCGTCTAGAATTATAATTCTACTTGATTGGCAAGGATTACAAGATTTTCCCATTTGGGGGGGTGGGGGGTCTAGAATTTTATCTTGAATGCTTCTTTAAAGAAGGCAAAATGCTGCTTGTTATGTGACGTTGGTGTTGCATCTTGCCTGTTGAGTGGTGGCTTGGCAGCAGTGTAGATCATAGTCTTGTCTAGATACCGAGGAAACCATACCTACCCATCATTCATATACCAGTTATAATTCTTGGAGGAGGAGGTGATATGATGAGGGGGCGCCATATTCAAAGTTGTGTTAATGTTCATCCACCTCTCTTTCACGAGAAAGAGAAGGGGAAGGGGGGGGGCCAAAAATATACTAAAACAAGACAAAAATATGCACTCCCCTTTCCATTCTTCATGGGGGCAAAGACACACCACCTCCTTTTTAGATGCGTTTGATCCTGGGACCAATATCACCCAAGCTCCTATCTCCTGCCACCACTTCATAAACACAAATATAAGCGAAAAAGAATATAAAAATTCAAAATGTCAAACGAATAAATAGCCGAAAAACATGCTTGTTTCTCCACATTCCTTAGCACTATCTAGACAAAGCAGGCATTGGATTCAAAACATGAATGGTCCACGGCACCTCACAGAACTGTGTCTATTGGAATATATGATAATCTCTAATCCTACTTAGGTGAGGAACACATTAATGCAACCTACTTGCCTATGAAAATATATAGTTTTTTTTTTATTTTTCAACTTCCATATGAGCATGTTCCCCACCTTGCTTGGTCTCAAGCATCCCCGCCTACCTTCCCTCTCTATCTTCAAATTGATCTCTATCTTTTCAATTTGTCACCCTACGTTTTTCCAAGAATAAATCAAGAGATGAGGCTCGATGTGGCATGATGTTCAATTGATGCCAATGAAACTATAGTTCAAATAATATTTTTTTCTTTTTTAAAAAAAAAAACATATGACAGCAATCATATTACAAAAAAGAGATACTTTTTTTCATGTACTTGTGGTCAAGCGAGTGCTCACATTTCCGGGACCCACCGGCTAGCCTAACCGGCGACAAGAAACGATGGGCTGAAAGGTTTAACCTAAGCAAAATTGATATATATCTAGGATTGGACATGTAACTCAACATCGTCTAAATAACTTTGATGGTGCAGCATTATTATGTTCTTATTAATTAGGAAACCGAAAACAACAATTAAAGGTAAATGTGAGACTGGTTAACGATGGAGAATTGCTTGTAAGCTTTTGGAATCATAGTACCCTAAAAGTCAAGTTGTTTTATTTTTGTATAATTTTCAGTTGTCTTTACTTTTTGATCCATCTTGTCATGTTTTCAACTATAGATTAATGTTTATCCTCTCCTAGCTACATGCTAGACAATATTCAAAATGTTTGTGTATCGACACAAGGTGTAACATACCACCAGCCTTCCATTAATCTAGGCCATAAAAAGTGAATGACAAACTCATTTTATTTGCATCACCATGTGATTTGTGGCCTTTACCAAGTCATCCCCATTTGGTTGGTTCAAAAGAACAAAAAAATATTATAAATTCTGGCAAAGCACCGATCTATCATGATTCTGTTGAAGTTTTTTAAAATACCCATTTAGGAAATATTCCTTTATTAGGTCTTCTGTGTAGGCCATGTAGCCATTCATCAAGTTGTTGCCATTTTTCTTTCGTTTTTAATCTATATATTTTTATCATGTTGTAGTATGCTCCCAAAACCTAGAGAATACATGATTATAAGATCTAAAGCCTTAATTAACAATATTTTTCTTATGCCAATCATATCTTAAAAAGCTAGGTTAAAGATGTTTGAAGGTACTATATATCACCAGTTCATGCCACCAAGGTCTAGAAACCGAGTCCGCCTAGATTGATTGCTTTAGATTCTATGTGCCATGTACGTCTTTCAATTTAAAGCAAGATTTCCTTCAGCTTTTTCAAAAGGTTTTTAAGATCTAGTACACTAACATCTAGTCAACTAAGTTTCAGCTTAGGTTCTATATATTAGCTTTTATTATCCCATCTAAAGTCGATACTTAATCAGTGACTAATTATAGAATTATCTTATAAGCAACAGTCGACAAATTATTATATCATAAAGCTCGAGTAGACCAAGTTTCTGTAAGCCAAAACTGTATGATTACTGAATCGGTGTACTAAATCTTAGTATTGAATACATTAAGTGAATCTAATTAATTTCCCTCTAGAAATTTGTATAAACGATTGTGTTATGTTATGATTTCCGTGAATATGGTGTATTACTACTATAAGTACATGCTTGGTAAACTTTCGCTAGACAAGCCATTCGTCGAAGGCGATGACAGAGATAAAGAGGATATACATACTTTCTTGCACCTAATGATATTGGAGAAGACGAGTAAGGATACATGCCCTAATTTTGCATTGAGCAAGCATATATAGTTTGACCCTCGCCATGAAACGAGACGTTCATATAGTGACAACAATAATTGGAGAATTCCCTTCGGTAGACACGGGCGAACACAGTTTACACACACACACACACACACACACACAAACTCAATAATTGTAGATTCTTCTACAGTTTGTGATTGACTTGTTTACAAGAGACTGAATAGTGTCCCTTAATTTTTGGGGCACTTGATCGACAATAATGCATGAATAGTAAGTGGATAAAGCTGTACAAACAATTCCAATGATAACCGAGCATATCAAAAAGCAAGGCAAATACACCCATGAAGATGTAACGCATATCCTATATTTTTAGGGCAAAATCACTATCCATGAAAATAAAAGAAAGCAAAAGAGATAAAGCTCGATAAGAAGCACATTCAAAAGGCCAAAGTTAACGGCAACATTTTTATCTCTGCACAAATAAAGTCACGGACAAGGACAGCTTCGATCCCATATATATAATAAGTGTGCATGTATGATGCTTGATTCAACTTTGTTAATTTCTTGCTTGTGGTAGTGGGGTATTGATAGTTTCTCGCTGAGGAGTAAAAACTAAATAAATAAATTGGTAGCGATTTTCATTACTTTTATAGCAATATATGGTGAGCACTAGTGTCGTTTATGCTGTGCACCATGTGGAGAACATAGCGCATCACTTGATTCCATAATGATAAATAGGCTTTCCCCTCATCTAGTTCCCGTTTTCCTGTTATGCATTGCCGGTGAAAACCATGTGCTAGCTTGCAGATATTTTAGAAAAATAAATTTTACTTAAAAATATATGAAAATAATTTTTTAAAAAAATTGTATATATTATAATATCAAATTTATTAAAAAAACCTTTAAAAATATATTAATTTAATATTTTTTAATGTAAAATATATTTTTTTAAAAAAAAAAAAGTTAAAACACAGTACCAAGCAGCCTCGGTACAGGAAAAACTGTTCAGCTATACAGTATCCATTCAATGGTTATCATTCTACGGTGAATTGATGATGGCCTCGATGTCGGCAAGGGGCATTAATATTGGTGTCTCAAGAAAAAAGCTAACAATTTATTTTTATTTATTTAAAAAAAAAACCCTACAAAAACCAACACAAGAATAGAATCAAGGTTATTTGTTTGTAATTACTGTGGAAGTTGGGGGTTGGAAACTACAATTGGAAGTGATATAATAGTGGGATAATTGTGGGGTCGCGAACCACCATAACCAGCCCTTCATTGTTTGGCCTGGTCACATCAAAAGACACCAATCCTCGACTGATTATGAATCTTGAAGATGTTCAATTATCCACCCCAGCCAACAAGCTCAGATAATCAAGGAACACCAAAGATTTACTGGCTTGTAATCCGAGAGGAGGGGAAGTCTAACTATACTTCTTCGAACTTAGAAGGCCACAAGCCTCCCACTAGATCACATTCCTTGGTTGGGACACAATAATGTACTTAAAAGAAAATTGTGGCACGTATATTTGAAAGATTTGTTTAAAGTGGAGGTTTACAATTTTTAGTAATTTATTTATAAATTTATCTCACTCTTGTAATATAAATTATAAATTTAATAAATTAACTTGATTGATTGTATTATTTTTATAAAAAAAAATTAATTAATTTTTTTAATTTAATCTTTTAATATTAGATCGGTAAGAAATTGAGTTTTATAAAAAAAATTATTTGTTTTTTATAGGGTTATCTTGATATTATAATTTGAATCACAGTTAATCCGAGTTGACTTTATTTATTTATTATTATTTTTTAATTATGTTTTGTATTTTTGCGTTTTAATTTTTACGTAGTTATCCCGATCTCATCAACAAGGTCTCGAGTTTGACAAATTGACTTAGTTTATTTTTTGGATCTTTTTTAATTGATTTTTTTTTATTAATTTCACCATCTAATCTCAATGTTATTTTTTATTTATTTTATTTTATTTTTTA